CCTCATGGATCAGCGTTCTTTTCTATGTAGAATCCACAAGCACTTGCTTTTGTTTTGGTAAGATGTTGATCTTGGTGTGTGCATTGATGGAAGCCCCGAAGGAACAACAGATGACGGGACGAGATGCGGCACTAGCAGGGAGCCTTATCGCATGGAATGAAGATCAGCCATCGTATCGATCTTTGCAGAGGGTCGAATCAAGAAAGGGGAGAATTGCCAAACTGCCAGAGAAATTCCAGCCAGTAAGAGAGAAGATGCCCCTGGCAGCCCTGGTCACCAGTGCCGAAATTGCAGCAATTAAAAGCAAAAGAACAGACGCGCAACCTATCCACAAGTGGCATGTGCTAAGGAGATCTGGATCGAGTTGTTAGCCCATCTGCCCATCTTATTTCATCTTATTTACCCACAATGGTAAAAGCCATTTTTTGGTCTTTCCGTTGTTGCTCCTTTGCTTTTGTTGAACGTGTAAACTGGAGTGATACATTACACCGTACCTAAGGTATTCTGTTATGGTATGTATTGAAAAGTGACAAATTGTTAAATGATTCAAGCATGATAGTATACTCATGAACGAAGTTGCAAGATAAAGAAAGCATAACATACGAGAATATCCTAAGAGAACACTGTATTGACTACCTATGCGAGCCATTATTAGTGAAATGATAGTTAAAAACGAGATATCAGAATAGGAAAAGGATATACGGATTACGGAAACTCAAATATCTGTTCTCTTTATTAGGTAGTCCTCAACAATAATGTGGATGTCGTCATCAAACTGCGTACTCTTCCGTAACTTGCTACGTAACCCATGAGGCATGAAGTTCTCCATTATGAATGTTCGTATCGTTCGTTATTGGTTATTGGCGACAAGAACTTGTATCTTCATATGAGATGATGCCGAGTACTAAACTGGGCAGCATAGCCACTCTTTGAGCAGCTTTTAAACTTGGTTTTGTAGACGGTGGAGCGGATAGGCGGCACAATCCGTACTGCTGTTTGTAAATAGTACAATACCGCGAAAATGTAAAAAGCAGTCCGGGAATCCAATGGTGCGTGCTGGCGTGGCACACCCGCCGTCAAATTTGCCCTAAATGTGACCCCTGCAGACGTTGCTGCACTTACCATGTAAGTACCTAGGTACCATGCTAAGTTACCATGCTAAGTCATGGTAATTTCAGCAGGAATCGAAATAGTGCGCCGTACCTTGCAGTAGTGGGCATGTAAGTGGGCATTGTCGGTCAAGCATTGGCCATCCTCTCACGCTGTTACACTGCCACTTATCTCCTGTTCGGGTTAGCTCATTGATGCTATTGGATGAATCTAGGCCACCCCAGAGGAAGGACCCGCCGTGGGACGTGTGTACCTGTTGTCCCCCTAAACCTCCTGTCTCCCTGCAAACAATTAATTTCACCCGTCTCCCTCCATCTCTTGTGAATCTTCATTGTTTCCCTTTCTATCGCGCCGTCTTCCAACTGAGAGTCAATCCACTCTCTACCACATTCTTTTGGGACCGCACATACGTTCGTTACATACAACCCGCGATACAAACAAATCAACAAATTAACAATCTAATACACGGCATTCCTTGTCTTCAACGATTATCTTGATCTGCGACTGATAAAACATTGTACGCAATTTCACCAGCTCAATCGGTAAGTGCCAATGCGCAAATATGCATCGTCGCCTTGTCATAGAGTACACAGCTTGAATTGCGACTTGCTACCTTTGCACAATATTGTTGCACAGAAACTTCCCTTTGATCCCACAAGCGCTCTCCTTCCCCTCCCCCTCGGATACAGTACTGGATACAGCTGCCATTCTCTCCACTAGCAGTTACGCTGACAATGATTCTATCTAGAATTGCGATTTCAAGCCACGACTATCAAACTTGATAATACCGATTAAGAAGTATTTACCGGTTTAACTTCGACAAATATGAAGTCTGTTATCTTGAATCTTGCCGTTGCGGCATCCTTTGCTGCCGGCGCGGCTGCCCAGCCCCACCACCACGGCCACCATCACCACAAGAAGAACGCCGGGGCCGAGAAGCGCGAAGTTGAAACTACTTATGTTCCTGCTACCGTCACCCAGTACATGCTTGACGATAAGGTAGTGAGCGCCGACGAGGCCAAGAACGGGTTGGACAACGGTCTCTACGTCGTCGTTGGCGAGACTACCCCTACTTTTACTGCTCCTTCCGCTCCTGCCGTTACTAGCAGCTCGTCCTCCACCTCCAAGAGCGACGCAGTCTTCATCCAGAAGGTTACCTCGAGCTCGTCGTCTTCCGCTGCTCCTACTACAACCTCTTCCGCCCCTGCTTCGACCTCATCGAGCTCCGATTCTACCGGGTACGCCACTGGCATCGATGCTGATTTCCCCGATGGCAAGATCAAGTGCGACCATTTCCCCGAGGAGTACGGTGCTGTTCCTCTCGAGTGGCTCGGCCTCGGTGGCTGGAGTGGTCTTCAATTCACACCCAGCTACAAAATTGGTGACTTATCTATCAGCTTCATCGAGACTGGTGTGAAGGGGATGGCCAAGACGACTGGATTCTACTCCTATGCTTGCCCTGAAGGATATGTCAAGTCGCAATGGCCTTCGGCTCAGGGAAGCACTAAACAATCCGTTGGTGGATTGTACTGCAACGATGACGGCTATCTCGAGCTCAGCCGTCCCGAATCCAAGACTCTCTGCGAGCCAGGTGTCCCGGGTATTACCATCAACAACAAGATGGAGAAGAACGTAGCTATCTGCCGTACTGACTATCCCGGTATTGAAGCCATGGTTATTCCCGTAGACGCACAGCCTGGCGCCGTCCGCGAGCTGGCCAACATCGACTCTGCTAACTACTACTACTGGGACAACAAGCCTACCACTCTGCAGTACTACGTCAACCAGCCCGGTGTCTCAGTCGAGGACGGATGTGTTTGGGACTGTGCTGAGGACCACGATGAGTGCGGTAACTGGGCTCCCACTATTCTTGGTGTTGGCCAGTCCACCGATGGCAACACCTATATTTCTCTGTTCCCGAACACGCCTACTAGCAGTGCTAAGCCCAAGATGAACATCAACATTACTGGTGATGTAAGCATTGCTTGCTACTTCCAGGATGGTGAATACGCAGTTAGCGACGCTGGATGCACGGTAAGTCATTCTGTCTATTATTTTTGTGTACTTTGCTAACTGGTATAGACCACCATCCCTAGCGGTGGCAAGGCCGTTGTTACGTTTACCGATGCTTAAAGGAGCGCGAGTTGGAGGTTGTTTTCTGTCATACTGGTCTAGGTTTTATATTGCTTTCTAATGGATACTTGCTATATTTCGCCTTGGTACGACAGAATATCAGAGGCGCTTTTTGTCATGTGGGCGATGTGACACATTTAATTTTTATTGTGTATATTTCAGGCTTTGTGGCTAGGTGACGCCGGACATACCCTTGTTTGCGCTCTTGATCGCAGATAGATAGGTTGTTGCGTGCGAGGGTTGGAATTACGAGACGTTTTACAACATCTCGAGATGGCAGCTTCAGAGTCGATGATTTGATGCGATAGTGGATATATCCCCTATGTTACTCGCCCGATGTATTCTGTATAGAGCCTTTGACTAGTTTCCCTCGCCAGAGTTTACACAACCGAAGGGCCACACTTCACAGGCCGTAAGTTATAGTGGATGGGGGTCTTGGAAGACGAGTTGGTGGAGAGGTGGCTGGGGGGATATTGGGAGTATACTCTGGGCATGTTGGTAGGACAGGATTCGGTGTGGAGAATGAAAATTTCATAAAACAAGTCAATTCTATTTGTTTAAATCTTGCGACATATCTGTAATATTTGTCTTTTTGTTATTTGGTGTTGTATGGTAGAATCTCATATAATATACATACGTATTACTTCCTCGAAACCGAAATCTAATGTGTGCTGCTTGTGTCTAATATCGTTAGCTACCTCTTACATATGCATGTAGTAATTAAGTAATCGGCAATTATCACGAGGCAATATTTAATGTGCTCTGAGAACAGAAGACTCCAAGTATTGGCATATAATAACTATGTTGAAGGTATATGAGAGTAAATGGTTGAATATAGGATTATTCTAACCTATACTATTATACAGGTACATATCAACACCAACCTTAATAGCTATTATACACTAGGTCCCGCCGCTTGAGGCTCATTCATCCGTACTACTAGCTTAGGGATCCACACGTCAGTAGCTTACATTACCTTGCCTCGCCTTATAAGGCTGATGAGACACATGTTTACAAAGGTGAAGACATGAATAGGTAGATAGAATTGATATAACTAAAGAAACTAGTTAATAAAAAATAACAAGACTTCTCTGGCCGAAGAAATATCTTGGATCCGATAAAACAATAACTAGGTACCTAGATATATAGGTTCGCTTTTGGCGGTCAATTTGAGGTGCTGACGGTGTAAGCGAACTTCTCACCTGCATATCGTAAATATACCCCTGTAAACAGATTGCGTCATGGCAATGCGTGATTATAGAAGCTTGACGGCTGTTGTTTATTAGTCCATTTTATATAACAGCCTGCCGAAGCCCAATTAATTGTATCGCCGGGTTACTATGTTGCGACATGGCGTCTTATATATTGGATCTATGTAAGACTATAAGTCGGATCAGCGCCACACCCGACGTCGCTCAGGGGTCTTTATAAACTCATCCGACCACGAAATGGCATATTGCGGCTCACGGTGGCTATCATTGGCGGACGTTCCTCGTCTGTTTTGTCGCGGAGATGTTCCCCGCCGCAGCTTGGCACATAACGTCAATTCTCACATTTATCATTCTCACATTTTATGTATGATTTTGCTGCTGCTCCAACGGCTCTGGCGATCGAAAGCTCCGGCATTGGCGAATGGCCTTCTGACCTCCCCCACCCTGTTTAGACTTATGCGCTAGCCAAGCTGGGGTTTGGTTTGGTTTGTCCTGTTCTGTTCTGCGTTTAGCTTTATGCTCCTTTAAGGTTTTATGCTGCCGGGCAGGTGCTCGATTTCGATTCAACGTCGATCGGCATGGGATAAGTATCCCGACTTTTCCTTTCTTCTCGGGTTTGTCCCATCTTTTTTTCCTATCACATAGTTGCACGAACACAACTTTAATTTTTGGTAGGTTGTTATTATCTTTATTTTATTTTCTAATAATAGTAATAAGAGGACGCCGGCCATGTCTCTGCAACGTGTCGGATCCCTCGAGACGTTCGTCAATATTCCTCCCGAGGGTCGTAGGTCGCGGCGGGGTTCGGCGGCGTCGTCTGTTGCTGCCTCGGAGAGGGCGCGCAAACTCACGTTCAACCCGCTGCCTGAGTCGTGGGACCCCGTTTTCGAGGATGAAGATGATGGTCACCTTCACCCTAGCCAGTCTCGGGGAGCCTTTGAGGTTCCTCGATGGAAACGAATACGTGAGTGGCTCTTCTGGATATTCGTGACGATGGATGCCTAGTTAGGGAAGGGGAAGCTAATACATAGGCTTGGCATTTAGTTCAAGTTATTGTTTCGGTCGTGTTATGTCTCTTTTCAGCGGGAATCGTGTTTGGATACGCTGCTTTGAAACCGGTCTTGAAGAAAGAGGGTGCATATCAAGATATATGCCATGGCGGAGACACATGTGTGGAAATTCATCTAAATCTTATGTTCACCACTGCAGCCGTCGCCACCAATGTTGCTGCTTTGCCCGTCGGTGCTATTCTGGATCACTATGGTCCTCGAGTCTGCGGTATCCTAGGTGCTTTGTTTCTTAGCGTGGGTGCGCTTTTCATGTCACTTGGGCAAAGCTCGCCCTTCGACGCATTCCTCTTCGGCTACCTCTTCCTTGCCCTGGGCGGGCCGTTTACGTATATATCTTCGTTCCAATTATCTAATGCTTTCCCTCGACACTCGGGCCTGATCCTCGCACTACTCACAGGAGCATTCGATGCATCGAGCGCCTTGTTCCTCGTTTACCGTATTATTTATAACAAGACGGGTGGTACCTTCGGGCACCGTCAATTCTTCCTCGTTTACCTTATAGTGCCGGCAGCGATACTAATTTTCCAGCTCACATTACTCCCCAAGCAGTCATACAAGACTGTGGGAGAAATGATCGAAGAGATCGAGGCACCCGCATTCCCCGATCCGACGGACACAATTGACGTTGCGGATGCTGATGATCAGGTGGACGAACAGACCGCACTTATTCGAGAGGAACAAAGAGAGCACTACGAAAATGTTGTGCACGATATCGAAGAACTGCTAGGGTCTAACCAGGTAGACAAGGATAAGCAAGCTCGCCGCGAGGAAGCCAAGAACGAGAACAGCGGTGTATGGGGCGTGATGCATAACCGCACGGCGTGGGAGCAGATCTGCTCGCCTTGGTTCGTGCTGATATGCTTATTCACCGTGGTACAGATGACGCGGATCAACTACTTCGTCGCCACTATTCGGCCACAATACGAGGCTATTTTCGGCTCAACAAAAAAGGCCATCGAGATCAACAACTTCTTCGACCTGGCACTACCGCTAGGCGGCATTATCTCGATCCCCTTCATTGGAATCATCCTGGACCGCACGAGCACCATTACAGTGCTAACGACGTTAGTGACGGTCGCGACGACGATAGGAATCCTGGGGGTGCTCCCGTACACTTGGGCCGCATACGCTAATGTGGTCCTTTTCGTCCTGTACCGGCCGTTCTACTACACGGCCGTCAGCGACTATAGCGCCAAGGTATTCGGCTTCCGCACTTTCGGTACCGTCTACGGCACCATCATCTGCCTCTCCGGCCTGCTCAACTTCAGCCAGACTGGCCTCGACTACCTCTTCCACCGCACCTTCCGCGGCGACCCTGTCCCTGTTAACCTGCTATTGCTCACGCTCGGCTTGGTCATCGGCGTGTGTCTGGTGGGATTCGTGGGCCTGCAGTCTCGGAGGCTGGGGAGGAAGAGGGAGGTGGCCGGGCTGATTAATGGCAGGGGGGAATACTGAAGTATTCATGATCGTTTACGCCTTTGACGAGCTTTTGGACGTCTTAAAAAATTGCATGGCGAGGTGGTTTGTTTGATTTATATATAGGTGTTCTGCATCTGCATATACATGTCTCGGTTATATAAGGTAGTGTGTTTGGCGTTTTTGAGATGTTAGGTAGGTACATATATGCAGATATACCACTTGGGTTTATGTAGGGTAAATTGATGAAAATAAAAATATATCCCACGGGCAATGTTCCTCCTTAAATTTGTTGGGTGATATGTGTATATAGAAGGCAGAGAAGGCAAATGTAGCGAAGCATATCAAATAAGCGCTTCTAAATCACGGCTTATTTTGTAATCCCTCAAATGCATCGAAGAAACCATCATACTTTTAATTATAAATATAAATGCGTCTCAAATTTTACGAAGCCAAATTCCGAACTTATGCAAAGTTGTTGGATTAGGTAGTTCTGATTCACGAATCTCCTAGGAATAAGTCTTATACACGACAGACTATATAATGCTTCCGTGTAAAACGCTGATATCTAATAACTACCCGCTATGCATGAAAGCCCCGAATCGCTTGACTGACACACATTAGTGTAGCCGGATTTTTTTTTCGCCGTAGAAGGGCAAAAGCTCTGGACTATAGCCCATCACAATGCAGCGCCTGCGTTGGACATGCGGAATGTCCCCTCAAGGGTCCGTGGCGGAGGATGCTTGGGTCTAGGTAATACTCTGGGTCGATGGACTTTGTGATGATGGCTGGACGTCGTAGCTATTTAATGCTGTGTCTGGCGACGCTGGTATCTAGACTTAGTGGATATCGTGCTGACCTATGTAACTGGTCCGTCTTCGCTTGGACGTGTACCGGGACTTTAATAGCCGACATCGTTGTGTCATATCATCGTTACCGCCACGATGTCCGGCGAAGGGCGTTTCACAGCAACTTTGTGCTTAAACCATTAACTAGTTAGATCGAATAACTCGTATAATTGCGTAGTTAATCAATCCTCCTTTGCTGTCTCTGGCGCCGCGTCCGCATTTGTTGTCTTGGGTTCGCCGTCGGCATCGAAACCGAGCGCTTCGAGCTCCCTCACAAGCTCGTTGATCTTGATGACCTTGGCGATCTGCTCTGGTAGAAGGGATTCGCCGCCTTCCTTCTTGCTCTTCAGGTCCTTCGCTTGCTTCAGCTTCTTCTTCAGATTTCGGGCCTTCTTTTCTCTCTCGGCCTCTGGGTCGACGGCAGCTTCCTCGGCTCTGGCAGCAGCGTTCGTGTTGTTGTCTCCGGAAGCATTGTTATTATTACTGGTCGCTTCGGCGGGATCTTGCGACTGCTTTGCCTTCTTCCTCGCTTCTCTGCGCTTGGCATTTTTGTTGCTGGCGGCAGCGGCGGCAGCTTCCTGCTTTTGTTGCTCCTTTAGTCCTTCTGCTCCGATGACGCCGCCTTTGCCGCGGTTGTTGCGGAACGACTCGGCGGTGCGGTTCTTGTAGAGCTCGACGTCCTCGGGCGGCCTGTACCCGGGCCGGATCTTAATCGCTTTCCTTGTGGTGCCGTCCGCGCGCACGGATTCTGGGATGTGGCGCTCGCCGCTGCTCTCGTCTGTGACGATGCCTGAAGTCGACGGTTCGGAAGGCATGGTATTGTAAAACGTTGTGAAGTATAAAGTATAAAGTGAAACAAGCGAAAATTATAGTACGGAATAAGTAATGTGAGCCTATTACCTAGCGGGACAGCGGGAGTGAAGCCTGAGGGGCTCAAATGGAAGAAGTTAAGAACAGCCCACCATATCTCGGAGAAAAAAGGTGGACCACCGATTCTCTAAGCTTCAACCAATCAGAAACAGTCATTTCTAAATCACCAATCACCAATTCTTTCTTCGGCTGGAACCTGCGAAGTTGGAACTTATTACCTTAGGTACGCATTCGACTTTACGACGTCTGTCATTCAGCAACGCCAACAGCCTCCCCCACTCTATTCCTATATTCTTGAAATATACCTCTTCTCTGAAACAGACGGTATTCGCTATGGTATGGTCTATCCCTATTCGGTCACTGTTGATGCGCTGCAACTAACTAATCGCGCAATAGGCCAACCCACGCTCTTTGTACAAGCAAGTCGACCCTACCTATAGCCACGAGCTTCGTTAAGCTAACCAACCATTCTTCGCGCAGCGCCTTTTTCCGAACAAACTGGCAGATGCTGGGTTTTGTCTTTACCTCGGCTTTCGCTTTCGAGATGTATGTGGTCCTCTACGGGGATGGGAATATGGGAATGGGGCGTAGCTGCTAACGGGGATATTAGGTTCTTTGATAGTAGCATGAACAAGGTCTGGGATAGGTTGAACCGAGGGGTATGTGCTGTCTAACGATAACTCTGAGGAGAATGCTGCGACTAACAATGCGAAAGCGACAATGGAAGGATATCCGACATCGATACGTCCAGGATGAATAAGCGACCACTACCAACTCCCGGAATTAGAGAATGCTTGAGATGGGACATGGAAAACTCTGGGGACGAGCGGGTGTCTTAAAAACTGCACAATTGTACCTTATAGACCGGAACAATTATTTATAGCACAGTTCGGACGAACGCTATATCTCTACCTACTTCTCCCCGTACATAATGAACGACTATACCGTGCTCAGGTGAATGCTTGCCCAAACGTATATTAGGAAACTCCAATTAAGACGTCCGAGATAAAATAGACAGATTGATTAAACTAACTCAATTTGCTAGAATATAAATCTTGGCTAACTTCTCTTTGTTCAATTCAACTATAATATCTCGGGTATGGGGTACATGTAACCAATTATTGTAATAAAGAGAAATGGAAGTCATGTATTTCCACACTATTCCGAAATTACCTAGGTATGGAACTTGGTAGTTATTAAGAATTGTCATATCTGTTACAAGTACGGGCAAACGGGATTTGTTTGACGAGGTATGACACTTTCATTTGGTCATGATACTGACAGTGATATGAATAATACCTACCTATGTACCTAAGGTATTTAAGGTATTTCGTATGGCGTGTATGTATATTACCTAAAAAAGACGCTAAAGCTCAAATGCTGATTCGCAGCTGCTCAGCTGCTAATGCGAACGAGTCATATAATAGCACTGTGATGACTTGACGGACTTGACGGTAACTGCGGTAGCAATCTTATCGCTGATTTATCACTGATAACCAATTTTACTTACGTAGGAGGGGGAATGGAATGCGCTTCTTGTCAGGACTCAGGAGCTTTCTAATCATCTAATCTCTATTTCACCTGTTTCACCTATTTCACCCCCCGTACTTACCTTTCTCAATTGTTTATAGTGGGACGCGTGCTTCTTTGTTTGTTCAGGTGGATTATGCTTATTCTATGTTTAGTTACCTAGGTACTTCGTACATTAGTTTAATATATACACCACCTTTACGCCATCACGTATTCACCTATTAAATAGGTACAATACCCATACATATTCTCGAAGACATCGACTCACTCTCCACACGTGCCGCCACTAACTCATCCACCATCGACCTCGGTTCTACTTCTTCGAAACTTATCTACAAATTCTCTCACCCTAGTTACCATCCACCTCCCACTTTTCTCCATCTCGGAAATGATAGTTCGTCGAGTTTAGCCATGGACACCGCTATGTCTACCCAAGAGCTTCAGCTCTGTCAACATCTAATAGAGCTACCGCGACGTTATGGTTACCGATACGAGGATGCCGCCTGTCGAGATCTCTTATACAATCTCTTCTGGTCTATGGCTGGTGGGAGACCCGAAAACCTGCGACTATTTTTCCCCGATGGTAAACTCACACCAAAGAGCACCTTGAAGCTCCGAGAAGCTCAGGGAGCTGTAGAGGGAGCTGAATACACCGAGGCCGCCCGCGGCAAGGCATGTGGTCACATATTTCGAGCCGGAGAGGCGTCATATGGTTGCAAGACTTGCAGTACCGACGAGACATGTTGCCTGTGCAGCAAATGCTTCAACGCCACAGATCACACAGGCCATATGGTACGGATCTCAATATCGCCAGGGAATAGTGGCTGCTGTGATTGCGGCGATCCCGAAGCTTGGAAAACTCCTATGTTTTGCACAATTCATAGCGAGCGCGAGGAAGACCGGTCGAAAGGAAAGGGCAAAGAGGTTGCTGGATTGCCCGAAGACGTTGCTTCCAATATCCGCATGACAGTTTCCCGAGTCCTTGATTTCATCTGTGATGTCATCTCTTGCGCCCCCGAACAACTTCGGCAACCTAAGACGAGAGAGTCTATTGAGAAAGACGAGAAGATGTCCCGCTTAGCCTCGACCTACTGCGGTGGGGATGTCGACTCGCCTGGGGAGTATGCGCTACTGCTTTGGAATGACGAGAAACATACTGTAAAAGAAGTTCAAGATCAAGTCGCGCGGGCGTGTGGTACGACTCTTAAGGAAGGGTATAACAGAGCACTAGAAACTGACTCGATCGGCCGGAGTATTCTGAAATACGACACGAGCATAGAGAGGTTGCTTAAGTGCGCCACCATTCTTGAACATATCAAGATAACTGTCACTATTCGGTCATCTCGTGATACGTTCCGAGAGCAGATGTGTGGAACTATGATTGACTGGTTAAACGACATATCGGGATGCGTAGTAGGAAACGACCAGAACATCCTCCGAATGGTTGTCTGTGAAGAGCTCCTAAAGCCCTGGCGGAAAGGGAGCCCTGGCACGCATGCGATGCCTGGTAAAGATGGCCTGGAGGACGAGGAGAAGCTTGAATATGACCCGCTTGAGGCTCATACAGCCACAATATTTATACAACGAGCAAGATTCTTGACTGAGCAGGGTAACACAGCTACTCTAGCGGAATTTCTCGATACTGATGATGATGATGATGGTAACGATGATGACGATGAAGATATGGACGGCGGCAATCGGACCCCCTCCAGTGGAGAGGAAGATAACGACGACGACGACGAAGAGGAAGATGAGGATGAGGATGAGGATGTGATGATGGTGGATACGCGACCAGACGCTGGCGGCGCCGATGTGAATGTACCCGACTGGATCGGTCCAAGCGTGGCGTCCCTCGAAGAGGAAGAAGCAACAATGGCGGGTTATCCGCCCCCTCCGCCGCCCCCTCCTGTACCGAGACGCGCGACCCGGGATCGGGACCTCACACCATCAGACTCGGATACCGCCGAGCCGCTAATAGCCCCGACCGTATACGCGAAGGCCAATCTTGAGATTCCTAAGACACCCGGTCTTTCTAAGGCGGGTAAAGCAGGGCCCCCAAAGCCTGGGAGGTACTGGGTCGAGACACCGGCAGCTTATATGGAACGTGATAGTGTCCATCCATTTGAAGATGTCTTTCAGCGCGTCCGTCTGGATTGGCTAATCCTCTTTGACCTAAGAATGTGGAAGAAAGTTCGTAACGACTTACGTTCCTTATATATCTCTACGGTTGTTACTATCCCCGAGTTCAAGAGAGTATTAGGCCTTCGATTCTCTGCGTTGTATACAACATTGGCGCAGTTGTATCTTATAGGAGACCGCGAGCCTGACCACTCGATTATCAACATATCGTTACAGATGCTAACGACGCCTTCTATTACTGCCGAAGTAGTCGAAAGAGGCAACTTTTTGACCACCCTTATGGCTATTCTATACACATTCTTGACTACTCGGCAAGTCGGCCATCCCTGGGAGGTTTCGTCGAGCGCTGTCCTTGGGTTCGACACTGGTTCGGTGACGAACAGGCGAATGTACCACTTCTACGTCGATCTTAAATTCCTCCTCGGCTCGGCTCATGTCCAGGAGCGGATGAGGACCGAAGAAAGATACCTAATGCAATTTCTCGATCTAGTGAAACTTCACCAGGGTATTTGCCCGAACATTCGAGCCGTTGGCGAGCATGTGGAGTACGAAACTGATAGTTGGATTGGTGCCTCGTTGATGACGCGAGAGATCAACAGGCTCTGCAGGCTTCTATCGGGTTCTTTCCGGAGCCTCCCAGCACAAGACCTCCCATATCTCGAGAAGGCTATACGGATAGCAGCTAAGAGCGTCATCATTAACTCGGTCGGAGCGGAGCGTGCCAGATTTACCCAGGCCGAGATTAAAGAGGAAGTGCGATTCAAGACGTTGAGCGACTTCGAATTCGCCGGCAACGCAGCCAAGTTCGAAGTGGTAAGGTTCATCGTGGGAGAGCAATCGATTAGTTTTCACCATGCGTTACATTACACCCTATCATGGCTGATCGAGTGTGGGAAGTACATGTCTCAGCAGGAACTCAAGTCAATCTTGAACTTCACCTCGCAAGAGCTTAAGATGAAGCCTCGCTCGATGGGCCGAAAAACTATGCCCAGGCGAGATTATACCCCCGAGGACTATCTCATGGCCGCATTTGACTATCCTCTACGCGTTTGCACTTGGCTTGCTCAGATTAAGGCTGGAATGTGGGTTCGCAATGGCATTAGTTTGAGGCATCAAGCTGGGACATACAAAAATATTCTACATAGGGATGTCACGCATGCGCGAGATATCTTCCTGCTCCAGACCGCGATGGTAGTCTGTAACCCGAGCCGGGTTCTCGCTTCGATCGTTGACCGGTTTGGTATGGAAAACTGGACCAAAGGGATATTCGAAGACACTCAGGATGAGATTCAACATCTTGATGTTGTCGAAGACATGGTTCACTTTCTAATCGTACTACTAAGCGACCGAACTTCACTCATCCCGGTTAAAGATGAGCAGCAGACGCATCTAATGGCGATGCGCAGGGATATCACGCATGTTCTATGCTTCCGGCCGCTATCCTTTAACGAAATATCAAGCAAACTACCCGAGAAATTCCACGAGCAAGAAGACTTTCAGCGCGTACTAGATGAGGTGGCTACATTTAAGTCCCCCGAAGGCGTCTCTGACGTGGGAACTTTTGAACTTAAGCCTCATTTCATCGAAGATATTGACCCATACATTGCCCACTACAATAAGAATCAGCGGGAGGAATCAGAAGCCGCCTACCGCAAGTGGATCTCTAAAAAGACTGGGAAACCTGCTGAAGAAATCGTGTACGAGCCAAAGCTTCGCCCGATCGAATCCGGTGCCTTTGTGAAGCTGGCTGAATTTACTAGCACTGGGATGTTTGCACAGATCATCTACTACTGCTTGTTATACCCTCTAGTCGCTGCTAAATTAACACCCAAAGTCCCGTTTACTAGAGTAGAGACGTTCTTGCAGGTTGTACTACATTTAATTCTCATTGCCATTGCTGAGGATAAGGGAAACGAAACCGATTCCACGGCCGCAACTGATTCCTTCATCTATATCGCCCTAACAACGTCTGCCCGCAGTAATTTCATGCAGGATGCTCCAGCTGCAAAGACTATTGTGTCCCTTCTGGACATGATGTCGACTAAGGAGGAGTTCAAAGCTTGCCATGCCAAGATCGCGTTGATTCTGAGGAGAATGAAACAGAAATACCCGCGCCACTTTAATACGGCCTACTCGCGACTAGGTATACCTGCGGATCGGATCGATACGGCGTCGCCGGCGAATGCCCAAAGTGCCGAAGAGGAGCGCGAACGAAAAAAGAAGGCAGCCCTTGACCGCCAAGCCAAAGTCATGGCGCAGTTCCAGCAACAGCAGAAGAGCTTCCTGGAGAAACAGGGGGATATTGATTGGGGTGAAGACGAGTGGGATGATATGGATGAATCTAAGCCTATGGAAGAGCAGAAGAACTTCTGGAAATACCCAAGAGGTACCTGCATATTATGCCAAGAAGATACCGACGATGGACGCCTGTACGGGACTTTTGCACTCTTTACCAAGAGTAAAATCCTTCGACAAACTGACCTCCAAGACCCAGACTTCGTTAGAGAAGCCGCAAATACTCCTGTCAACCTTGACCGCTCAGCCGAGGCAATCCGTCCGTTTGGCCTTGCCCATGAGAACAGGCAGATAGTAGAAAAGGTCAACAAAGACGGACAAGTAATCCACAGCGAAAGGCAAGGCCTTGGCAAAGGTTTCCCAGCCAAGCTCTGTCGGTCAGGTCCAGTATCTGTCGGATGTGGTCATATAATGCATTTCAGCTGCTTCGATATGTATATGGAAGCGACCCTCCGTCGACACGGGCATCAGATAGCACGTCACCACCCCGAATCCCTGGAGCGTCTGGAATTTGTGTGTCCTCTCTGTAAAGCCCTCGGGAATGCCTTCTTGCCTATCACCTGGGATGGTAAAGAAGAGTCTTACCCCGGGATATTGCAACCCAATACAGACCTCTCTTCCTTCATGTCTACATTCATGACAGGGCGTCATTACACTGCTGTAGTAACACGAGACCAGAGCCAAACTGCCTTCATCAACTACTTGCGTACAAGAATGCCAGAAGGTCTATTCGAGAAGTCTAGTGCCAGCCAATCGCCGTTCTGGGATCCTGGTAATTTTAGGACCGTACCGTCAGTAGCCTCCAGTGATACCTTCTCCCTTGCGCATACGCCCGGGTCAAGTGTACGGTCACATTCGCCGCCAGAGTCACAACACGGCGACAAGGAGCTGATGCTGATATATCGACGACTACGCGACACACTCCGTAAGAACAAACTTGTTCCCGCGACCTTCGTACACGAGGGCAGGGACGATGAATTATATGCTAGCGATGTATTAGCCCAGTCTGTGGGTTACTCGATTTCTGCGGCAGAGATACAACAACGAGGCATCGAAGCCCAGTACGGAATGACGTTAATTGAAAGGATGCCGGAGCAGCTTTTAGTTCAGCTTCGAATCCTGTCTGAGACGGTGTCGTCATATATAGCAATTGGTGGCTTCAGGCAAGGGGGGTCTAATGATATTGAACGAGAATTTTGCAAGGCCAGCGAGCGCCAATTCTTCCAACTCTTCATATCAGCCTACTTTAACAAGGACGCAAAAGATCCCTTGCCACCGTACGATGAGCACCCACCGCTCCTAAGTCAAGATGTATTCGTCTTCTTGTGCGAGACTATGTTTGGTGTCTCCGTTGCGCAGAACATGGACCCGATGCATCTAGTCCGGCTTTGCTATCTTGCCGAGATAGTCAAGGTTGTCCACAACGTATCTCAGAATCTTGCACTTTCCAGGTGGCTTGAATATATGAACAACCGGAATAAGGAAGATCCCGCTATGAACAACTTTGCTAGTTTCTTTCACTATATCACGATGGCTGGGATGAACGTCAGCCACGAAATCCTAGTTGGGGACGAGTTCCTGGTACCGTCGGACGATCTACCTAACCTTGGGTTCAATCAACCAGGCTTTGATAGCCTAGAAAGCCTCCATTCTTTCGTTAAGAAATACGCCCTGGTCTTCTTGAGAAAAGCGGCAATTCTTCTGCATGTTCACCTTGGGGTTGACTTCAATAGCCACATATCTCCGGCTCCAGAAGCGGATGAACTTTCACGTCTGACGGCTGCGCTGCGATTACCGTCCTTTGATGAAATGTGTGCATCTTTGACACCCTTAGGTAGTCAGTTTGGTTGGCCCCCGCGCACACAAGCCATGGTCGACGGTTGGCTTCGCCACCAAATACGCGGACGTGCCAGAACCACGCACTTTGCTATCGAACAGGGGATCGAAGAAACCCCGCCCAGATCCGCTCAGATAAGTCATCCTGGTATCTTCGAACTCGTCGGCTTACCCAAGAACTTCGATACTCTTATCGAGGAGTCCGCTAAGAGAAGATGCCCCAAGACCGGTAAAGACTTGACCGATCCTATAGTTTGTCTAATGTGCGGTGACATCTTCTGCGGGCAGACCATGTGTTGTACCATGGAATACTCAGAGCCAGGGCCGGACAAGCCTGTGATGAGGATTGGGGGTGCACAGCAACATATGCTGTTCAAGTAAGCCACTTTTCATTATTCTACATGGTATACCGTATTTACTAATATTCTTCGCTAGGTGCCAAGGCAATACTGGGCTGTTTATCAACATTCGCAAGTGCGCTATCTTCTACCTGCATCGTACGTCAGGAAGTTTCAGCAGTGCGCCGTACATCGACAAGTACGGCGAGGTGGATATCGGGTTACGCCACGGGCGTCAGCTCTTCCTCAATCAGAAGCGGTACGACTCGATGCTGCGCAACATGTGGCTTAGCCACGGCATCCCCAGCTTCATCAGCAGGAAGCTCGAGGCGGACATCAATAGTGGCGGGTGGGAGACTATATAAGCGCGAGGTTAAGGGAAATCCCCCGCACAAACTACGCTGGTAAAGGAATGGTAGTAGAAGTGAGGATAACTGCCGGCGTTGTGGTCAACCCTCACTGTTTCTCCCGCAAGGCGCGAAGGGCGGACGTCATTGGTCGTAGGTAGGTATACTATAGGAAGAAAGGAGTATACGACAATCGATCAATTATGATGTAGGTAATGCGAAGTTTTATGCTATAAACGCGGTCGCTATGAATATATTGCATGGCTTCACCGCCTACCGTCTCGAAAAAGTATGGATAGATGAGAGGACGCATTTATATAGATAGTTTGTTTTTCAAGTTGACTTGACTTGACCTAACCTGACCTCCCTAATATTTTAAGAGGGCCGTTTCGTGATAATGTGTGTTGTTCAGGATGGCCTTAGTACCCAAGGTAGGTACCTAGGTAGGTAGGTACTTGTCCGATTAAGAAAAAAATAAATCGAGTTTTTAGTATTTGTGCAATTAAAGTATGGGATGGGTATGCTGCGCCGTCTAAGTTGTTCGATACAATTACCCTACGGCTATCGCCTGATAGCCCTGATTATACCTACCTACGTAGCTGTATATCTACCGCGAAAAAAAAACCAAGCTCGCACGCCCTATATCCTCTTTGGCTTGGCTGGTTGGTCTACTCTTCCTTCTTGACGTCTTCGTCCTTCAGAGGGGATTCACTTCCTTCAACCCCGTCGTCGTCGTCTTTCTCAGCACCCATATCCACATCCATATTCACATCCGCACCCGCATCCGCATTTGTATCCTTCGTCTCGGGGGATACAGATACGCCATTGACTTTCTGCACACCGCTCGTATCTCCTAACTGCTGCTGGTGTCTGTATACCTTGATCTTGCCGTCCTGGCCCGCGCTGACCATGGTGTCGCCGTGGACGTCGACCCAGAAACATACGCCGTCGTGGGCGCGCCGGATGCGCTGCACAATCTCCTTGGTGCGGACGTCCCAGAGCACGATGTCGCCGTCCTCGCTGGGGGCTGCTACGAAAGCCGTCGCCGTCCTCCCGCTTCCCTCTCCGTCGTCTATGTCTTTGGTGGGGACGGTGCCGAAGCATCCGCCGATGCTGAACTTGGAGTTTTCGTGGCCTTGGTATGTCTTCTTCACGGTGCCGGAGACGTAGTCCCAGAGTCGGAGGCACGAGTCCATGCTGAAGGCTAGTACGTACCGCCCGTTGGGCGCGAAGCATACTGATGTTATGGGAGGGTTGTCCTCGTGCACGAGGGTTCGGAGACATTGGCCTGTGGATGTGTCCCATATTCGGCTGTACCGTGGAAAAACAATAATTAGCCATCCATATAGTCCCAAAGAGTATTTTAAAGGAGGGGAGGGTAAGACGTGAAGCAAGGAGAAAAAAAAAAAAAAAAGAACTCACGTCAACCCGTCCGTACTACAACTAACCACCAGCGTCCCATCCCTACAAAAGTCAATCCCGCTCACAGGATCGCTATGGGCCGGCAGACTCCTCATCAACCGACCAGCACGCACATCCCAGAGAAAAACGGCCTCGTCGTAGCTCCCGCTCGCCAGTATATTCCCCTTGGGCGAGAACGCCAGGCTATACACGTAGCTATGATGGCCCAACAACGGCTTCCCCGCGCGCGCCGGCCGCCCCGTGACCCGGTCCCACAGGCGAATGGCTTTGTCGTCGGACCCCGAGGCCAGCGTCTTGCTGTCGGGGGCCCAGGCGACGGCCGACACGCCGGCCATGTGCCCGACCAGGGTCTCCGCGTGCTGGCCCGTGGCGGCGGACCAGATGCGCACGGTGCCGTCGGCGGACGACGAGGCGATCCATTGCCCGTCGGGCGAGATGCGGACTTGCGATATCGCGCGCGCGTGTCCGGTTAGGACTAGGCGGGGGGTGTAGTGCGGCTTGGCGAGTTGGCGGGAGGGCGGTGGGGGGGAGGGGGCGTGGGCGTGGGCGTGGGTGTGGGTGTTGCGGAGGGGGGAGATTTCGGCTCGAGGGGAGCGCGAGTCTGAGGGGGTGCGGGAGCGGGAGCGGGAACGGGAGCGCGATCTTGGGGTTCGAGATCGAGAGCGAGAGCGAGAGTGGCTTGATGATCGACTGCCGGAACTTGAGTGTCGCGAGCGTATACGCGAGCGAGAGCTGGAGAGGGATCTGCTGCGGCGCGGCGAACGTTCGTCGGAGGAGTAATCTGTTTCGCGGCGACGTTCGCGACTCGGGCTTCGACTTCGGCTGGGGGTTTGGCTCTCGGAGCGGCTGTCTACGGTCTTTTCCCTGATGGAAACGCTGAGGGTGCGCTTGCCGTCTTTCTCCTTCGGGGTGTCGTAGTGTGGGGCAGGGGTGGTTGAATCGACACTATCGTCGTCATCGTGGACTTTGCGACGCTTAGTCGGTGGCTCGGGGTGGGCGGTGGCTGCAGCAGTGGTATCAACGCCAGACATGATGTATGTCTTCGCTGTGGAAGAGCCTTGTAGTTAGGTATATACTACCGGGGGGTCATTGGTCGGGATATAGTATCAATTGAGAAGCTGGATCTTGGGTAAATCGAGGGGCAATGCAAGCAGATAGGAGATATTACAATTTACAGCCTTGCGTTAGGTACGTAGATGAAAGAGATACACTACATGTGCTGTGACGGTGACGCGACATGACAAGGCTGATTGGAATTCTATTTTTTGGCGGGTCTTCTTATCAAATCGGCTTTTGATTGGACTATACCACCCTAGGCGTTACTCCACTTTCTAAAGCCTAAAGCCGCTAAATCTTAATCGCGTCGAGCACGCGTCTCACTTAAATCGATGGAGAACACAGTGCATTACGGTGCGGATAGCAACTGTATGTACCTAGGTATGTAAAGACAATTACCAATCGTTTCTCGGCAGGTCCTACCCCTTCCAGGAGGAAGAAGCCGGCGTAGATGCCGATCTGGACGAAGTTCAATGCAGGGGGACTGCAACTTTAAAGTATTCCTAGTGTACCTAATGCATGCATGCAAAGACGTGCAAGCATGACAAGGCTAAGCATGGAGGTTTGATGAGGAAATAACGAACTGCTATTGTGGGATCCCTGTATTGCTACACTAGTGATATGCCCCGAGTAACACGAACACGGCAGCACGGGAGTAACATGTGGTTTGTAGGTAGTTTGTAGTTTGTAGTTTCCAGTGTATCGCAACAAATTGATCCTTCTCTCCATTGTTCATCATTTCTTTCCCCGCGAGTTTCTTACAGGTTTTTATCTTACAACAGCTGCAAGAGTCTATTACTCCTCCACGATCCTAGATGCATCTCGCTTCAAAGACAATTACTACATACATAGGTACACATATATGTATGTAGTAGTTAAACATTATTAGGATGACAGCCTTGACCCAAAGGATCATTTAATCCTAGTCCAAGCACGCTGCAGCTCCTCCTGCACGACGGGGGCAAAAAAACGTGGTAGTGATAACGCCGCAAAGGGGAAGAGAAGAAGAATAATAAGAAAAAAAAAAAATCCCGAGCAGCTTTTTATATAGACGGAGCTACCCACCCTCCATTTTCTTCCCCACGGTGGCCTGAACACCAAGTATCCATCTAGGCGGAGATAACCCAGAGACTACAAGATGGAGGACCTCCCCACCGAGCTCAATGTCATCACCCTCAACTGCTGGGGCCTCTTACACCTGAGCGAGCACCGCGCCGAGCGTCTAACCGCCATCGGCCGCGAGCTCGCCTCCGCGGATCCTCCGCCTCACATCGTCGCTTTGCAAGAATGCTGGGTCCAGGAAGACTACCGCAGCATCCGGCGCGAGACGCGCTTCGTCCTGCCCTTCGGCAAGTTCTACTACAGCGGTGCTTTTGGCGGCGGTCTGGCTATCCTGTCGAGATGGCCTATCGAGGAGAGCACCATGTTTCGGTATCCGCTGAACAGCCGGCCTACCGCCTTCTTCCGCGGCGACTGGTTTGTCGGTAAGGGCGTTGCGTGCGCCCGTATCCGGTACGGCCCTGGTGACCGCGATGTCGTCGAGGTTTTCAATACGCATACTCATGCTATATACGAGCACCCGCCCGATAAGACGGACAGCTATCTGGTCCATCGACTAGCCCAGTCCTGGGAGATGGCCAAGCTCGTCCGTGGCGCCGCCGAGCGCGGACACTTGGCCCTTGCGTTAGGCGATTTCAATGATGTGCCGCTGTCGTTGTCGTATCGCATGCTAACGGCGCATGCTCCCATTAAAGACGCCTGGCGAGTGCTGAACCCAAACTCGTCTCTTGGCTCGGCTGTTCACGAGTTGGAGCGCGCGCGTCGGCGCCCGATCCCTTCTGCCCAGTATAATATCGTCGAGAACGGCGTTACGAGTAACAGCGCCTATAATACGTGGAGGTGGTCTAAGTCCGAACGACGTGCCCTACACTCAGGGAAACGACCGATAGTCATTCCGCCAGATACACCTGATCCGCGCGGCAAACGTATTGTATGTAATGTTGAATCTTTCCTCTCTTTGAGTCCATGTCCTGAGACAGAAATTCCCGATATAGCCCGCCAAGAAGCCATTACTCCTGGCATATATCTTATTATAACCCCCTGATTTCTTGAAAATGTTGATTTCTAACTCTACTATAGGACTATATATTCTTCTCTCCACAGGTCTCAGTAACCCCTGGCTCTACCCCCGGAGCAACAGCGGCGGCAGCAGCACGAACAAGCCACGACACAAGCGAAGGCAGCCGTACCAAAGGTTGGGTCGTCAAAGACGTCCGTGTCGGTATGCTAACGCGCCACCCTGACCTGGGGTGCTCTCTTAGCGACCACTTCTCCGTCGAAGCCACTCTCCTCCTCCACACATCCTCCTCTCCCAACCTCATCCCCCCTCACTCCCCCTCTCGCCCTCCCTCTTCCAAGAAACCAGCCCAGCAGACACAACTCCTCCGCCCATCCTCATCTTCCTCGGACCGATCCAACAGCCACGACCACGCCGCCTCCCTCCTCGCCCTCGAACACGGCACTTATCTCCAATCCCCCACCGGCTCCGAGTACCGCGTCGGTTCCCGCCTCGATCTCCGCGCCTCTTTCGACGACCAACTCCGCGCATCGCCCGCCTCCCCATCCTCCGCCGCCCGCCGCGGCGACGGCCTCCCATGTACCACGTACGACGAAGTCCTCGCTCTCATCCGGACATACTCGTCCCGCGAGCGCGCCCAGCGCCGCTGGCGTATGATCCACTTCGCCATCTGGACCTTCGTCGTACTAGCCTGCTACGTCGCCGTATGGTTCGTCGGGGACGTCCACCCCGGCGTAGCCTTCGCCTTCCTAGTCCTGAGCAGCGTCGGTTTCCTAGCCGGTGCCGTAGACGGACTTATGGGGTTGCTGTTTTTCGGCGGGGAAATACGCGCGCTCGCCGAGTTCGAGTGGGAGATTATGAATGCTAAGGCTACGGCTAGCGGGGCCCACGGGCTCGCGCAGCAGCAGCTTGATGATGAGGAGGGTGGTGATAATAATAATAGAGGTACGAGTGCGGGGACCGGTGGGAACGAGAAGGGCTGGTGAGGTGGAGGTGGAGGTGGAGGTGGAGGGGAAGGACAAGGGGTTGGCTGATTTTACTGATTTATTGAGTGGCTGGCTGGCTATATTATGACTTCACCTTGGGGATGAAGAATATGAGTTTGGATTTATATGCGATGCCTTATACCTTATACCTTATACCTTATACCTTATACCTTATACCTTTTACCTTATGTTGACCAGAAGATAGATGAGGGGAAAGATGAAGAAGATGAATGAACAATACCTAATTCTAATTTTAATTTGTATATAACTACCAGGTACCTACCTATACATAAGTCAGGAATCACACACCCTAGGAAAGAAAAGAGGAGGTAATGAACGAACGAATGAATGTCGTGTTAGAGGAAAAGAGATTTACCTAGGTTAGGTAGGTTAAGGACTGACTGACTATTCTTAGGTAGTGATGATGATGATACCATGAAGAGATACATACACAGGTTGCGCAAAGGGATACTATCCTAACACAATTCGTTTCCGTCTCGCGTAACTGGACTACACCAGTTACTTATTCTTCTCCCATCTCCATTTTCCCTTCCATTTTCCTCCCCTCTTCTTTTTTTCTCTCTCCTACAAATTCCATCGTCCTTGTAACTACCTACCCCTATACGCCATACGCTAACGAGTATATATGTGCCTCCCACGCAGCAACGGTGTAGCAAGTACCTATTCATCAGCCAGCTCACCCCTGACACCAAGCCCGGTAAGTAGCCAGCTCGGTGCCGTTACTCGGCCGTCCCTTACTCTTCCCTCCTCCATCATCCTCCCCACTGCCACCGACACTCCAGTCGACGATTCCCGAGGGATTATGCTCCCCCATGCGACGATAAGTGTATCCTATGAAAGCAGTCTGCTTGCGCACATCAAGCACGGGGCCCTTTGTATTTCTATCCCTGAGCAATCTATCGCGGGGCCGCTTCCGCTCGCGGCGTCCAAACGTCCGTATGAATGCTTTGATTTCGTCGCAGAGTTCCGTATCGGGAACCATGACTTCGATCTCGTGGACCATGCGTTTGAGCTTGGCCGAGTCGTAGGGCACCGATACGAACTGCGCGATGACGCCGCGAACGTGGCGCGGGAACGTAGCTATCTGTGTTTGCATGGCGGTTACCTTCTCGGGACTTCTATAAGGTACCAGGCGGGGAGGCGGAGTAGTAGGAAAACCGTTAACAGTGTTGCATGTGATCAAGGGGTTCAGAGCCAAACCTTCGGCCTCAGTGCTTGCTTCAGGTTGAGACTCTGACCAATCAGATATCGGCTCCTCCTCGTCGAAGTAGTGTGTATCCTCACAGCCCGAGAGCTGTGGGATAAATGGTGGAGGGATGTGCTGCAGACGGTCCCAGGGGATGTCACGGAACCACTTATGTGCTTTGATATCCTCTCCATCGTGGGGATATACCGACCTTCCCGTCCAGTCTTGATACCCACGGCGATGTCGACTTCTGCCTATAGGCTCCGGATTTGTGTCCCGGTAACGATACCGTCTTGATGAAAGACGATTCTCTTTCTTACAGATTAAGTTGACAATAAGATCCATGCACCGTCTCGAAATCACGGGTCGAGGTGGGAATGCGAATGTCTGCTTGTGATTGACAATATTGCGCTTCGTCTGTTGGCGGCCGCCTTCTTCCGACAGAAATGGAGTGTGGCCGTATAAACACTCGTATAGAATGACGCCGACACTCCACTAATCGCATCTTGCATCGTAGTCACCCTCGCGGATGACTTCTGGGGCCATGTACTGGCTTGTTCCTACGCAAGACCTCGCCGCGCTACGATTACCGCACCGGTTACGCCAGTCCAAGAGCGGCTCATCTGATAAAGGTGACGGCGGAGGGGTCGGGTATGGCGGATGGCGTTCATGTTTCTGCATCGCTTGTGCTATGCTCTGAGCCCATTTAACTGAGCCTTGTAACCCTTCAGCACGGTCAATGGCGTCCCCTTCTACCGGTATGTTGAACTTTTGGAGTAGGCTGTATCGCTGCGTATGATAATAATTGGTGTCGTGCGACCAGTGGCCATCAAAAGCCAGGCCAAAATCAGATATCTTCAAGTGACCAGACGCAGAGATGAGAAAATTGTCTGGTTTGATATCACGG